CCCCCCCCAGTTTGTCCCCAGGACCCTGTCCTGCGGCTGCTGCGGTGCCACCGCCGGGCCCTACAGGAACAGCTCTGGTATGTCCCCCCCAACCCCCCCTGATTTTGGGGGGATCCTCCTGCCCCTACCCCTTCCCCACATCCCCCTGACCCCCTTTGCTCTCCCCTTTTCCCCCCAGGGCTGTTGAGACCCTCCTGGAGCCCACCAGGTACCCCCCCCAACCTGGAGGGGGCCAATAAAGCAATGAAACCCCAAAGCTGCAGCTGCACGGACCCCAAAATCCCCTCCCCCACCTTTGAGGTCGCTCCAAATGCCCCAAGAGTGTTGGCTCGGGGGCTGTTGGGGGTCTAGGGGGCCTATGGGGGTGTTTGGGATGGGGTTCTAGGAGTCTGGTCATGAAGGTGTTTTTTGGGGAGGGATTCTGAGGGTGTTGGGGGAGGGTCTGAAGGGGATTTGAGGGTCCCTGGGGCATTAGCAGGGGGCTGTAACTGGCCGTGGGGTGTTTTGGGGAGCCCAGGATGGGCTTGGGGGCCCTGGGGGTTTATCGGGGAGAGGGCCTCACCTGGCTCCTCCACCTTCACGGCCAACATGGGGTGGAGGGACACCAGAATGCCCCCACCCCTGGGGGAGGGGTGAATGAGGGGCATCCCAAATTGCCCCCGGAGCCCACAGAACCCGCCCCCTCCTTCCGAACCGCCACCTCCCATTGGCTGCCACGCCCGCCCATCAACACTGCCAACCAATCAGCACCCGAGAATGCGTGGTTGGGGTGGTGCCTTTGGCTGAGTCACTTCGCTTCCTGGACTACAACTCCTGTCATGCGGCCCCGTTAGAGACAGGGTTGTCCCTGAGTACTCCCCAAACAGCCCCCAAATTCCCTCCCCTAATGCCCAAGGGGCCCCAGGCATCGCAGCGATGATGATGATGATGGAGGGAAAGCCATCTCATCGCAGCTCCAGGAACGGTTCAGCCTTTAATTAAAACTTCAGTTAAAACTGCAATTGTTGCTGTGGGGGGAGGAGGAGGCCCAGGTCCATATTCCATGGGGTCAGTCCCAAAGGAACTGCTCAGGTCCACATTCCATGGGGTCAGTCCCGAAGGAACTGTTCCAGATCCACATTCCATGGGGTCAGTCCCGAAGGCACTGCTTCAGATCTCTTTCCGTGGTCCCTTTCCTGCCAGGCACTGGCAGGCACTGGGAGCTCCTGGGCCCATAGTGGGAGCCCAAAAGGGACACACTGGGAGCAACTGGGATCAACTGGAAGATACTGGAACCATACTGGATGTACTGGGACCACAACTGGAGCAACTAGGATCATACTGAGAGCAACTGGAACCATGCTGGGTTCATACTGGGCGTGTCTGGAACCACACTGGGGGCAACTGGTACCATACTGGGACTGACTTGGACTGATGGGGATCATACTGGGAGTGACTGGGATCATATTGGGATCATTCTAGTAGTGACAGGAATTGACTGGGACCACTGTAATTGTGACTGGGATCAGCTGGGATCATACTGGACTCACACTGGGACTGACTGGAAGTCACTAGGATCATATTGGGATCAAACTGGGATCACTCTGAGAGTGACTGGGATCACAGTGGTAACATTCTGGTAGGGATAGTAATTGACTGGGACCATTGTGGATGTGACTGGGATCATACTGGGAGTGACTGAAATCATACTGGGATTGTATTGGGAGTGACTGAAATCATACTGGGATTGTATTGGAAGTGACTGGGGTCATACTGGACTCACACTGGAAGTGACTGGAAATCACTAGGATCATATTGGGGGTGACTGGAATCAATCTGGGAGCGACAGGGATCACACCGAGACCCTATGGGGACCATAGTAGGATCGCCGCCGCGCTGGGTGCCGCGGGGCGTGGCCACTGTAGATTTATGCTAACGACTCCGCGGCGGCCGCTGCACCATCGAGTCGCGGCCTCCGGGCGGGGCGGAGCGGTTGCGGTCCGCGATTGGCGGGGGCGCTGCGTACGGAAGTGACGTTCGAGCGGCGCAGAGCGGCGGGAGGTTTGAACGGCGGCGGGTCCGGAGGGGGTCCGGGAGTGACATCACGGCGGTGAACAGGGGGGAAGCACACCCGGGAAGGGCGAGGGGGGTCTCCCTGGCTGCCTGGACCCCCCTCCCCGGTCCCCCCGGGTCCTCTCCAGCGTCTCCCTGACTCCCGGACCCCGCACTGAGCCCGCGGTGGATGTGGCCTCGCCATGCCCCGCCCCAAGCCCACCCCCCGGCGGCGTCGCCCCCCTCCAGCCCCGCCATCGCCCCCCCCCGCGCCGGCGGGCACGGAGTGAGTGTGGGGGGATACCCCTATGGACACCCCTATAAACCCCCCTAGACCCCACCATACCCCTATGGAGCCCATATGGACCTCCTATAGCCCCATATCCCCTGTTCCTACAGACTCCCATAAATCCCCTATAGCCCCTATACCCTGTCCCCTATAGCCCCCCATACTTGCTGTCCCTTGTAGCCCCCTATAGATCCCTCGTACCCCCATGTCCACCCAGGCCCTATAGAAATCCCTTATACCCCTCATAGCCCCCTGTACTCCCCCATAGCTCCCCACTGTCCCTCTCACCCCTGCAGCCCCCCATAGATTCCCTGTAGCCTCCTGTGTCTCCCCAGGCCCTATAGATCCCCTAAAGTCCCCTATACCCCTCCTGTGCCTCCCAGGCTCTACAGATCTCCTATAGATTCCCTATAGCCCCCATACCTCCCTTTGTCCCCCTCCAGGATTCCGCCCGGGCCAGCGGGCACTGCAGGAGATCCGCCGCTACCAGAGCAGCACCCGCCTGCTGCTGCGGCCTCTGCCCTTCTCACGGCTGGTGAGACCCCAAACCAACCCCTGGGAATGCCCCAAACCAACCCCTGGGAACCTCCCAAACCCCAACACCCACCCTGGGACCCCCAAACTGACCCCCAAAC